TAGGATACGGATGTTAGCTAGGTCATCGCTAATTGCCAAGGCCAACGAGAGCAGACTTGCATAAAGTGGGCACGTGTACGTAGTAGCATTTTGGGCACTTATGGCGATGCCAGCCTAAGCATGCTTCCAGAAGAAGTCCTCGTGCTGAGCCTTGGTAAGTTTGCCATAAGCCATCTCACACATAAACCTCAGGTTCCTTTTGGAGTGATAGGGGGCGTTGCTGTGGTAAACGACGCAGTCGAATACACGCAATAGGCCTTCTTATCCTGTGGTATCGCTGAATCATCGCTAGCACCAGCTCATTGCCTCTTCGTATTAACCTGTTGCGATGCTGATGTCCATAACTGCATCGTTTGTGTGCCATCCAACAGGGCGATAGAAATCCCACGAGTGTTTTATGAAGGTTATGCGCTCTCGCAAGAGCAACAATGGCGCCTACGCGGCCACGACCAGAGATATTGAGGAGGCTCCAATGCCAGAAATATGGGCAGGATCTGGGTGAATCGCCGGGTCGGAACAGACGACAATACCATACGCACCTTTCTAAGCTCAACCATGAATCCAGTTTGTGGTACTGAAGAGAGCGTTTGTTCCGCCGTAGCAGGCATTGAAGGTGTCGAGGCCTTCGACACTGTGGTGGTCGTCAGCCTCAAACAACGACATCAAGAACGACTTGGTTGACTTGCCTCTGTCCACCGCACTTTCGGTGCCAACCTCGAGGCGCCCAACCTCTGTAAACAACAGCTCGAGTTATCGGAGCAGCTTAGTTACGCTCGACAATGCCATCGAGACAGTATCTTCGCCGTCGCTCATGAAAGTGATGTTTTCCTGTCCGCGCCCAATCATGTATCTCCCAGGACTGCCATGGAATGCTTCCGCACCGGAGGCTCTCAGGCACTATGTTGGAGCATGGTAGGAAAGTGCTGCAATGCCGACAGCCTCGAGTTTGAAGGCTATGCTTGCATCATTTATTGGAGCCAAGGAAGAGCCACGTATTTGTATGTGAATCCCGCTCGCTACAACGGTGCGACCCCACGATGCCGCGTCTGCCACCAGAAAACGCTCGGTGCAATTGAGACTATCGCAT